CTTTTATTTATATGGAGTATATAGATAGGAGTGTGTTTTTTCTAGGGCATTTTCTACCATTTTAGGAAAAAAAACAGTCCCATGTGCCTAAAGACTAAATATAGACACTAATGGGTTAAAAAGAGTTCATGCTGCCTATAGTTGCATGAGCACTGAAATTAAAATACATTCGTCAAGATACCGAAATGCTTTCTCACTGTAATTATATACCGATGTGGCCTATATGACTTCCTCTGATGTGCTGTGGTTGTGTCTCTGTGTGTAAAGTATCACTGTACATGGATCCAATTACACCGCAGTCATGAGGCGGGTTTGGTTTGCTGGATGTTATGAAATCTGTGTGATCATCTCCATGTCCGTCCGCCTGTGAGGTGAAATAATGTGTTTTAACATTGAGTGTCATGTCAGCGCAGTAATTTCTTGCATATGGGGACTCGTGATGTCATCCTTTCTTCCACTAAACAATCAGGAGAAATTAGCTCCTTTCATACGACACCAAAAAGTTGCCTGACAGGAAACTCTTTGATCTCTTTGTTCTGTTTTTCATGAATTGGCCCGTATGCTGACTTGGACTCGTGTCATTCTGAACCTTCTACAAAGAACGCTGTGGTTTCCTCTTCCCTCCACTTTTGCTTTGTGTAGTTAATTAATAATAATCCTTTGTATCTGCCTTCAGGAAAACTGTGGTCCAGGAGTGTGAAGGTGGCCTACAACCTGCTGCACAAACTGGGAACCAAACAGGAACCTCTCGTCAAACCTGGAGACAGGGTAAGTTACAAGAAAACCAAACTGAACAAAAAAAAAAGATGATTCTGATTAAGTGAGGTAGACAGAAAAGAAAACGAAACATGTGAAACTTGACTTTAGACTTGAAAGTAAAGACAATCAACTAATAAGCTCTGTATTGGTAACAGGGAACAATGGCGGGTGCTCACTATGGTTTTATGTCTCACAGGGGACAAAGAAGATTAAGTAAGTAAGTAAATCCATAAAATAATGAAAAAATAAGTCAGGTATTTGATTTCGAGGCCTGTGTCAGACAATCAAACTGAATTGCCTTTTTAATTTAATTTCTCTTGAGTCTGACATTGTTCATGTTAGCTGATTTATTTTGTTTCTAACCAATCAGTACTAAGAGTGCTGAATCTTTCACTTGATGAGGTATCAATTGGAGAAAAGAAGTTGCAGATTAATTTATAATGAAAATAATTGTTAGTTACCCCCACCAAATAACTCCAATAAAGATGAAGAACCTTTAGTACTTCAAAGAACCACATACAATAAGAACCACCCCCCTGAGTGAAGAGGATCTTCAGTTGGTGATGGCTCTTTGAAGAACCAGAGAACCTTATAAGAACCACCTAAGAACAATTATTTTGTTAGTTGTTAATAAGCCTGACATCGATATGGGTCGATCAGAAGTTGCTATAAGAAAACTATTTACAGAACAACCTTAGAATTAAGCTTCAGCCCAATGTTTTTGATCACAAGAGTAAGAGAATGATTTACAGAATAAGTTTAAATAAAAGTTGCTATAGAAAACGCATATTGACACATTTTAACCGGTAATGCTTCCGGCTGAATACTCAACCCATTTTTAATCCTGCCTCCAAAGCTGTGATTGATCGTTGTGGTGGCTGTGGCTCAGCAGGTAGAGCAGATCATGCAGCAGGTAGAGCAGATCATGCAGCAGGTAGAGCAGATCATCCAGCAGGTAGAGCAGATCATCCAGCAATAACAAGAAGCCCCAAACTGCAACAGCGCCTCACGTTGTAGCTCGCTGCTCACCGACTGCTCTGGATAACCCACAGAACTGAACCGACCTATCAACAGGGCTGATTGCTTCAGTAGAAAGTAGTTCGCATGAGATAAATTCCATTTTTTTTTTTTTTTTAGCACCGAATTTCAATTCCTCTCCTGAGACAACAAAACCAAACAATCCGCGAGGCTCGAGGTAAAGGAGGTGTTTTTGTTATTTTTTTAATACTTTTTTAACTGACCCTTAAACACGAGTCAGCACTCTGCTCAGAAACAACTGGACTCATCAGACCTTTGCCTCTGTTGTCTCGTTGGTTTCTTCGCTTTAAAAACATCACAGCAGTTTCACTGACATCACCTCTCAACAGTTTTGGGCGCTGGCCAGAAATCCTTTGTCGACTCCACACACGGCCATTGCTCAATGTTTTTAATAATGGACACGTGTGTAGTCCTTCCCTTCTTTCCTGTCAGTATAATCATCACATCACAGTCTGGGCGTCTTTACCCGGCACTGCGCACACAAACATACACAAACACCCGATCACACTGAAGTGGAAAAGGTTCAGTCATAGTCCCACATGTGTCTGCTGCCATGTGAAACCCCCAGCGTCTCTGTTCTCCTTGTCCCTCTTTCATCTTTATTTTAAGCTCAATTTCCCGCTCGGCTTGAGACTAAGTCAAGACGGGCACGATGCCAGTGTGTGTGTTTTAATGTAACTCAGCCAGAAGGAGGGTGTGTGTTTTAATTACCGTACAACTCCCCTTTTCTTCTCGCTCAGTGTGAATTACAAACTGCTCCTTTTCACAGTTTTACTGAAGTTATAATAAGTTGGACACAGAAATTACAGTGTTGTGTCTTTATTGTGACGCAGGAGTGAGTCTTGCAGGATGAATTCAGACATTTGTTTTACTGCGAGAGTGTTTAGAAGGCTGAGGAGATATAATTACACGAAGAAATGATACAGAAGTTGTTGTTTTATGAAAATGCATTAGAGGTTGTGTAATTTTGTGTGGAAAAACAAGCTCACAGAATGTTTGGGGAAATTAGCTTTGAATTTCAGATGGTTAACTGCATGTTTGTTTTCATTTTTATTTGAAGTGTGTATTCCAGAGGCAGGAACTATTACATTTTGTCAACCCAACAGAACTCCACATAATCCATCAAAACAAACATTAACCATTACAAGTTCACAAAACATCCCTATCTGGTTCTAAATCTATTTAATCTTAATCTAGTCATTTATTTTGAATCTTTAAACTGTTTTTTAAAAATCTGTACACAAAATAGAAATTATACTTTGAAAATGATATCTGCCACATAAACACTGCTCACAATATGTCAGCCAGTGTCAAAAGTACTCAGATTCTTTACTCAAGTACAGATACTTGACTCCTGTGAAAGCAGAAATACTGATTCAACTTCTTTACTTAAGTAAAGTGAGTAGGCTGTTTCTGTATCTGAAACTTCCCTCTCTCGTCTTTTTGCATCAAAACTAAAGCAACAAGCCTCTTTTGAAAATGTTAGGAGTAGAAAAGTCCTCCATAACTGCTGGAGCATAATAGAAAAACTTATTGGAAAATATATCACCAGAGCAGTGCAGCACGGCGTCCATACAACAGTGTAATCATCTTGACTCCAGCATACATTATCATCCACTCAAAATGATAATATGAAAATGTTATACAATTTGTACACCAGCATACCAGAGCCATCAATCACGTCAGTATCAAAGGATCAAGGAAATGTATTTACAATTAGAAAACACAAGGTTGTACAACAAAATTAAAGTTTTCAGACCCTTCATGCGACACATAGAAAAAGTGAATTACATTTTACAGGGAATCATATATAAATAAAGTAATATTAACAATACAGGACACTATAAGTTTTCTTTAATAAAAATTCTTGCAACAATCTATAAAGTTGACCTCAGTCATGGTGTGGTCACCAGACCACACCATGTTAGGCCTTTTCCACTAAAAGGGAACCAGCTCCATTGCAGTTCAAGCACCTAGTTTTGAGCAAAATAAATTGGTTCTGAACCTGAAAAGTTGGTTCCCAGCTGGAACCATAAAAAATAGCAGGTTTTCCTTGGCAACCAAAGTGGGCTTGTCATATTGTACAGGTCGTTCCCTCTGTTGATTGCCACATCTGATTACAGTGGTTCAAAACTGGCTGGTTCACCAGATTTAAGTTGGCCAGTTTAAGAACCAGAGCTAATTTGGTGGAAAAACACCATTTGTGGAGTTCTCTCTCCTGATTTGGACAAACGGGATACCAGAAACTTTATTCTTGCAGAAAGGACAGACTGGGAGATCCATGTTACTGAATACACTAAAACAGTAAAAATATAACTTATAGCACCTTTAATGTGCCGGTATTAAACTGTAGTTAATGACAGCAGTGAGGCTTCACTAATGGGTGCAGATAGAGTTAGTGTAGATAGATGGCGAACAGGGAAAACGAAAATTGCGATATAGTCCAGAACCAGACAAACTTAATTTCAAACATATTTGATATTTGCGCGAATCGGGACAACCAAATGGGTATATGAGGAGGAGAGAGCGGAGTTTTGAAATAATATTAGTTGGTAACCTGAGTCTGAGGGGCCGCTGCAGGAGGAAGGAGAGAAGACAGAAAAACCAAAACCACACAGAAAATAAAGAAATGAGAAGTCGCAGGTAGGAATGAGAAAGAGATACAGCAACTGTGTGTGTTTGTCTGGTGGTTTTTAGCTCCTGACACTTCTTACAGAAAGAAATACAGCAAATTTTGGGGTCAACCAATCTGATCTAGGTATTTTATTAGAAGCTTTAATCAGCTGTACCTTCATGAAGGTTTTTATGCAGTATGACGTTGTTGAACCTAATGCACATACAGTATCAAACAGTCATTTCCCATCCTCTCGTTATCGGTATCCTCCACAGATGAAACCTGAACGGCTCCAATGAGACCTGCACATGTCAACATTAGTCCTGTTAAAGCATCATTACACCGCTCTCAGTCACTCAGGTGCACTTAGCTTATAGCACACACGCTCACGTACAGTCCAGTGCTGCATGTGGAAACTATTAAGCAGCACTTAAGATGGGAGTTCAGCGTTATCGTCACAACATGCAACTGGAGCCAGACGGGATCCAACATGGCCGAGCAGGAGATAATAAAGGCTCTGCACTAACATGTTGGATCTGGCTGTTATGTTCATGTCCTGGGTGTAAGATAGATGGCAGATAGAAACTTCCTGCACTGGGAATATGTTTCAGAAGGGCTTTCGTGTCGTAGATATGATCTTGGGATGAGGATGGATGTAGTAAAATGTGCAGAATGAGCTGTGACAGTTTAATCAAAATTAAAATTCTGTTCTCGACAGAAATGACAAGATTATGAACTTCAAAGGTCAAATAAATCTTTTGCCACTTGTTTAATGTGTTAGCATACATGTTAGCATTAGCTGATTCTTGGCTATTATGGGGGATATCCAGTACAGATATCGAGGGCCAACTGTCCAGTGTCTTAATTTATTTTATTGTAATTTATATTTGCGTTTATTCTTATTATCCTGGTTTGGTTGTGTACTCTTGCTGTACCTCTCCTCTGTTTCATTCTTATTTTGCTGTTGCTGCTATGACACCTGAATTTCCCTCCGGGGATTAATAAAGGTTTATCTTATCGAAGCTGCATTTGGGTTGCAAGAACATGCTTCCTTGCTTTAAATACTCCTTTTTAATTGCAATTTTTTTTTAATTTTCTGGCAACACAGAAGCATATTTAGACTTTTGAGCACTCATGACTCCTGGTTTTCCAGTTCTGAACCCGTTCTCAGTACCTATCTGTACCAAAGATACATCGGTAACAGTTCAAGTGTACAGGTACAGGTGTTCCCACGTTTTCTTGATTCATAATATATTTCCTCTACCCCCCCTTTCAGTTTATTGTTCTTTTCTTCACATCCAGAGGTTTGTCATTAAACTTGCTGTTGTTACATAAGAATTCTGGCAGTTTAGCGTCACCTCAGTGTGCCAGTAAAACAGTTTGAACTGAAGTGAATTAATGAGCTGAAACAGAGGAAGATGCTGAAGGGGGAGAAACAGACACACAGAGAGTAAGAGATATTGGAGAGAAATGAAGGGGAGGGAAGTTAAACAGTGTGATGGCTGATAGGAAGACTAACAGAGAAAATAAAGCAGCATAACAGAAGTAGAAGAAGGAAGGCACGAGGGAAAGGATTTAGACAGACATTGACCAGATGCTCCTCTGAAAGATTTTGCTTTCTTCTTCACTGATAAGACCCATCGACCGAGCATCTGGCTCTCTGGCGACCGTCCATATCATCGTTAAACATCACACACAATTGATGTTTGATTCTTTGCTACTTTGCTTTCTTATTCTGTTGTGACACACAAAATCCACAAAATGCTTCTGAGTTGGGTGACAAATTAACCCATTTAGATTAGATTTAGGGGAAGTGTTCTCTGAACTCACCTAAGCACAAATCTGTAGACGTTTTCAAAAATCGGTCAAATTGTTTGGCTGAAAAGTGATTTTTTTTTCTGAAAAAAGATTCCTCCATTTTTTCTGCCTTTTCCTGTATTTTTTTTTACCATTTTAGGGGGGGAAAAGTTGTCAATGTGATAAGAAAATTAAGTTATATTTCAAAAATATGCACACATATGGAGTGTCAAATATTTCATATGGAAAACCTGACTTTGACCATTGATAAAAGTGTGATTTTTCAAAGATTTCAAAGTTTCACCATTAGACACTCGCCTAAAGGATGTCCGTACCTAATGTCAAGACTTTAGACCAACCAGAACAAATGTAAAGGCCTTTTTTCTTATCATACTAAATATAGTCTTTTGGCACAAATGAGTTCACTCAAAAATCTGAATAAATGAATGTAGAAACAATGAAGCAGATGCTGCCATACAGGTCACAATGGTTCTGCATGATTTGATGAAGTTGTTCTGGAGGCATCATAACTTTGTGATCACCAGATATACTTCTTCCCTCCCAACTCTAACTCATCTCTGCTGTCTCCTTTTGCCTACAGGTGGCGCTGGTCTTCCCAAACAACGACCCTGCTGCCTTCATGACGGCTTTTTACGGCTGCCTGCTGGCTGAAGTCGTCCCCGTGCCAATAGAAGTACCACTGACCAGGAAGGTGAGCTTTCCTGACGCCGAACTTCAACCAAACACTGACATGTTTAAATGAATGTATTATGAGTAATTAATCAAGATTCTCTATGGTTGCTTTCTGTTAGGGATGAGTACATTGTCTGTATCTGTATCTGTATCTGTTTAACCAACTAAATTATCTGTATTAGTATCCTTACTCAAAATAGTGCTTAAACTGGAAGTTGCTAACTTAAGCCGGAAATTGATACGTGTTGTTTAGAAGCTGCTATATTTATTAGAAAACTATTTACAGAATAGAGAAAATGAACTATTTACAGAACAAGTTTTTTAAATGAAAGTTGGTATATTTAGTAAGTATGGATATTGACACATTTTATTCGTTTGATACACTTCGATACTATCGAATAATCGTTTCAGCCAAGTACTCGCTCAACCCTACTTTCTATATCCTTTAGTTGGATGAACTTTCTAGGGTCAAATGTCATTAATCATGGATAGTGACAGTGTCGCCTTCTACTGGGAGGTTAGGGCACTCTCTATTAAACAATTAAAATGTCTTTATTGTTAGTCCTAAAAACAAGCATCCAGCCTGCCTTTTGGAATTTGTTTTTAGATATAACTAGGCCATGTCGTGACAGTAAAGGCACTTTAAATGTTTAAAAGAAAGTGCCCTGGAGTTTTCTTGTGATTTTTGTAATCCAAAGAGCACTTCAAACAAACTGAATTTGGGTCCAGGAAGCACTCCCCCCCAGACCTTTTTTTTTGTAATAACCTGCCTCCCTCATAAATGTAAATTAATTGAGACAAAACACCTGTCAGTGTAATACAATTCAATAAAGGTAAAGTAGATGTATTTGGTGCATAGGCACAGAAGTCTCTTTGTGGCCACCATAGTTGTCTTCGAAGGATGAGGCGAAGGGGTTGTAATCTTAAACTACACCACTAAATGGCACTAAATCCAACACACTCCTTTAAAACTCAGCATCAACAAGAACTGAACATTATCAGCTTTACAAAGACAGGATTTGTTTCAGGTCTATTGGTCTTGAGGCCTCCTCAGCTTTCTTCTGTTAGTTTTATGTGTGCAGACCCAACCCTGACGACACTCACTGTTCATATGCAGCTAATTTTCATGAAACGTAAAGTATGCCGCCTAGATTACATTATTTTATCAACATTAGGAATAAACATTTATATTGTATCTGCAAGCGGATAATAAATTTGGGGAGCTTGTCTGTTTTCAGTTGGACCTCGGGCATTAAGGGCAGTTTTTGTTGCCATTTCCTCTTTTTCTTCACGTCAAACAGTATTAGCGAGTTGAAAAGAGGACGTGCAGCAGAGCCGAACGGCGCTAATTCACACCAGTCAATAGAGCTAATTCTTCTTCGGGGGATTGTATTAAAAACATGAGTCATCAGAAGGCGCCGTGGTTTGAGTCATGGTGCAGCACAGAGGACAAAGAGCTCTGCTGAGGTGTAACGAGAGCCAAATGTCTAAGAAGAAACATCTCTGCTGTTGTTGTTGTAGGTTTACTTGAGTCATAGTTTGGATTGGCCGTCACAGAGCGCTGTAACGTCCTCTGGGAGCAACCGGGAGGGCCAGAGTGTGTGTCGGAGTCAGTGGAGGTCGGAGAAAAAATGTTTTTAGTACATATTCTTTTTTAAACATTTAATAATTCATATTAAGTTAATTTTCAAAGCTACAATAAATAACAAGAAAAATATACTTTAAGAAATAAAAAAATAGATAAGTACATGAATAAGTAAATGAATAGAAAAAAACAGGAACCAAAGTCTTTTGAATTTATTGGAAGTTTTTCTTAAATTATGCATCATGTTTTCATTTGAGAAACAGCAGAACAACTGACACAGAACAGGGAATAGTCTTCTCAGCAAAGAGCTTTCTACACATATATTATCTCCTGTTAGTAAAGGCTATATGTCTTTACTTACACCCCAGTTGTTGTACTCCAATTTAATACATTTAGACTTCTACACACTATATTGTCTGCATTCACAAGTAGTCCATAAAATGTTACATTTTAACTGTTCAAATTTAGCAAATAAATATGTCCACCAGATCCTGTAGAATTGTAGAAATGCTGAAATATAATAATTTAAACTCTAACCCCTAACCCAGGTTATATGTAATCAAAATGTATTTTCACCAGCACATGACCAAACCATCTTACTGAGCTGTTATCGGCTGCTCAAACTGGCAGAAAAAAAAGAAAGCAAAAGCACTATGAAGTCATTTTCATTTTAATTAATCCCCCGTCAAACCCTGGCCACAAAGAGTTGAATTACACTTTTACAATTCCATATGTTTTAGATTATCATGGATAAATAATATGGATGACAGAAGCGATACGCTAACGTTAGAGAGCAGAACACATGAAATATTTGGCAGATTAGGCTAAAGGGGATCAAATGGTGCAGTTACAAAACTTGGCTTATGTATCTTTCCATGCCCACTTTGACTGTTTAAAGTTCAGTAAGTGAAACTTTTTTTTGTGTGAGAAACAATATGAATCTAGCAGACATTTCTTACTTACCCAAAGGATTTTAAAAGACCCCCAGCAACAGCCTGCTCACCCTGCTGCCGTCTGGCAAGACTTACAGAAGTATCCGCTGCAGTACCACCAGACTGCAGAGCAGCTTCTCTCCTCAGGCTGGAACTCATCCTCCCAACTCCAACATAATAAATATTGTTCTTGTGTAGCATAAAGGGACTACAACCTATATTTCATTGTGCAGCCCTGTGTTGTACAATAATAGATAAATGAACCTTGAAACGTATTGCTGGAGCTGAAGAGATTTGAAAGTTGTCCATGTGTATGTATGTATTTTTTTACTTTAAAATAACAGCTTTCACAGCTTTCACCCAGTTAAAACTGAGCTGGCCTTCTTTCTGTTGGATGAGTTGGTAATATGTGCTGGCTTGCTATATCTTGTGTTGTTGAACTTGCTTGATGTTTGGCTGTGTTAGAAAAGTAGTCGACTTGCTAGTTTTTTAACACGTAATGTAATCATAACTGTCCATATTTACGACATTGCAACTGGAGGCGCCAAATCACCACAAATACATAGTGTAGCTTTAAACTGCCAAATGTGCTTAGTTATTGCGTATTTTGTCCCGAAGTGAACCTTGGGAGTTGTAGTTGTCTCACCTTTTGTTTTTATGTCCACAGGCTTGTGCATTTAAATTTTTGTCAACGTAGTTGTACTGATGATTCAACCAGAAAAGTTTCATTAAAGCCTTAAAGTGCTGCAACTGTCACCCAACTTTTACTTTCAGAACCTTGGACCTTCAAAGTAACACCTCCCCAGCAGCAGTTATTGATCGATTAGAATCCAGTGCAGATGATTAATCACATATAATCTCTCTGGTCTCTTTCCAGGATGCTGGCAGTCAGCAGATCGGGTTTCTGTTGGGGAGCTGTGGAGTGACGGTGGCTCTGACCAGCGATGCCTGCCATAAAGGGTTACCCAAGAGTCCCACTGGAGAGATCCCACAGTTCAAAGGTCTCACATAACACACACACACACACACACACACACACACACAGCCTATTGTCACACCTGTGCACATGCCAGCAGTGTATTTGTGGCAACACGCAGGGAACTCTGTTCATCATACATACTTAAATATAAAGAATCCAGATCCTATTATTAGTTAGAATTCTTGCCAAAGCATTTGTGTACTTGTATGTTGAAGAAAATGGTTGCCAGGGCTAAATACTTTAAAATGCTTTTATAACCGTAAAATAACTGGATCAGCTTTTATGCTACATCCATTTCTCTGTAGCACTAAGATAGCAGCATGCAGTTCGAATGCTGGCAGTTCAACAAGTGGCTCAATCAGACATGAAGGGCCTACATCCCCAAATGTACTGTAGAGTGCACAGCTGGGTTCTACAAGTGCATCATCAAGTGCAGAAAGTTCCCCAAAGTTACAACTAAACTGAAAAATCTAAAAACTGCATGTAATAAAATCTCCTTTCCTGCTACAGTAAGCAACAAACCCAGTTCAGCACTATACGTAAAGATGGTCATACACAGATAATAAAACTTATCCAGATATACTACAAAACACACTGGCATTGTGTTTTTTCCCCACCTCAAAAAGAGTCCACTACAGTGGTATAAGTACTGCCGGTGCAGCCAGTGCAATAAACCAGGGCCCAGCTGATTATGAGGGCCAACAAGGGACAGCAACAGTTGGCCTGATGTCCATCGGTGGGCCCTTTTGTGCCTGCACATACTGCAGCATTGGACAAGACAGACTCAGTAGGATGGTTATACTCTCAATAGAGAACAGCAGAGCGTGATTTGGATTTGAGCAGTGTTGTTAATGGCTTTGCTTTAATGGCTTTGCTGAGCACCCTTTTTCAAGAATTCAAAGTGGTGAAGAAATGCATCAAAATTTCAAAACACAATAAAATAGGAATTTAGTAGAATATAATTAGATACAATTAAATATAAAAGTGCATAAAATTATAGACCATGAATTCTATTACACAGCAGTAATAAGTCCAATACAGTACCCAAAGATGGACACACTGATATGTATACTCAAAACAGACACACTGCACACACACAACATACTCAGAGGTCAGAGGTCATAGTATAGTCTTGCCTCTCTTGTTTCAGCACAGCTTCCCTGTGTCTCTCAGCAGGATGAATTAACAGACTGATGGCAACAGACAGCTTGACTGAGTAATGGATGACAGGATGGTAGAGAGACATAGAGAGAGAGGAAAAACAGACAGAGAGAGAGAGAGAGAGAGAGAGAGAGAGAGTCAGCGAGGCAGAATTGCAAATCGATGGGAAGCAGCTGACAAGAAAGAGGAGAGAAAGAGAACGGATGGAAGGAGACACATGATGAATTGAGAATAGAGAAACATTAGCACTGAACAGAGTGAGATCTCCTAGTGATTAATAACGACTGTTTGCATTTCAGTAATGGATGTATAAATAGCAACATGATGCCGCCAGATTTACTGCTCCTCACTCAGCATGGACTTAGCAGTGTGTGTGTGTGTGTCTCATTAAGGTAGAGTGCTCCTCATATTGATCAGCAGGCTTTAAACTCGTCTCATTCACATGGCTGATTGTTTCTTCTGTCTCACTGCTGGGCAGGAACAGCAGCATTAATTCAGACATTAACAGCCTTCACATACTTAGGATTTTACATTTGTTCATGTTCTGCCGTGTAAACACTCAACACATCCTCGTAGCAATAATAATCTATCTTTATAGCAGTAGGAATAAAACTGAGTCCATGCAGATGCTGAACATGCTTCCACTTGACCAAATCATACATTATTATAAGATTTCTGTTCAGCGATATGTCGACAATATGCAATTTTATATACCTGTGAAATCAGGAACCACCAGGAAGCTCACATTAAGTTTTCCTTAAAGTCAATAAAGGAATATGAAAGAAAACAGCCTTGTTTGAGTTAATTCATCACATATCAATCGAAAGATAAGTGCCAAGAATACACTGATCAGCCATACCATTATGGCCACCTGGGCAACCTGGTGGTCATAATGCAGCCTCATTCTGTCCACATGTCAAATGTCCTCCAAATGTAATAATGAAATGTAAAACTGGACAGTGTGGACTCAACTGAACCAAATAGACAACAAACAAATAATGTTTTATTACCTATTAATTGGAACAACAGACCAATCAGAATATAAACTTCAAATGTAAAACTGGAAGTGGGAAAAACCTTATCAGTTGTTTAACACATGAACATTTCTTTATGCAAATCTCTTTTCTTTTGTCACCCACTTCTCTGGTCACTCCACTTGAATATAGTCAAAGATTTTACGATTCAATGGATTTATTTGTTACATCCTAAAACAATTCAGGGTGCCATACAATGCATACGTTGCCACCATTTGTCTTTTATAGAAGCTCTATCAACCAGGAGTGTTTTCATTTCATTGTTTTCAGAGTAGGGCATGAAAGCAACATACATAACATAATTACATAACTTAAACTGTTTTCCTAAACCTAACCAAGCAGTGTTGCAGAGAACAAATTGGAGACATTAGGATGTTTGTTTTGTCTCCCCGTGTGTCCCAGGCTGGCCCAAGTTGCTGTGGTTCGTCACAGAGTCCAAACACCTCTCCAAACCTCCCAGAGACTGGTTCCCACATATCAAGGACGCCAACCAGGACACTGCCTACATAGAGGTAACACACACACACACACACACACACTGACACACACACTGAAGCCTGTCTTCTCTGGGGCACTAAAACAATTCCACCAGTGTAGTTCCAGTCATTACTTTCTTTTGAATGGAAATCAATGGCGCTACATGTCCTTTGGATTAGAATCACTCTGCGGCCGAGTGGACTGTTTCTCTGCCGTTCAATGCTATCATCTCGTCTGGTTGATTTGAATTTACCTGACGTCCCTTTGAGCTGCCGGGCAGTAATTACAAGGTGAAACGTCTTCTTGATTGCGCCGGGGATTAAAAAAAGGACAGAGAGGAAAATGATGACAGTCGGGGATGATTGAAAAACGATTGACCTTTTGTTTTTTAACCGAGGCCTTGTCCCAGACAGTCGAGACAAATTAAATGACTTCAGCTCAGAGAAATGTATCTTTTTTTAATTTTTTTTTTCAGTAACACTAACTTTTGTCTTTTTGTAAGATGTCTCAACATGATGCATAACTCATAGTGAATTTATGTTTTATAGTCACACAGTTGACTGACAGCCAAGATATGTTGTCACATTCAGTATTGACACCACCTGTATTGTTTTATAAGCTACACTGAGAAATATTTTTTTTTGTTTTATTCACAAGGGAAGGTAACAGACTTGTTGCTGTTATATTTTATCTGTATAGAGATCAACCAGGCAGAATAAACAGGTCACTGAATTCATATATAAGGGTCAGCATTCACAGTTCTTTATTAGAAACTGTGCACTTACAAACACAAATGTTTTGGATGTTTTTGATGTAATAGACGTCTTTCTTTACCCAGAAATTAGTTAACATTTTAGCTCTTCCGCTTCCCTCGCCTTGAAGTCAGTGGGTTTCTTAAAAAATGTGGTTGCTAACAAGTGGCTTAGTGAGACTACAGAAGGGTCAAGGAAAAAGTGTTATGATTGATCGGAGTATGACCCAAATAGACAGCGTGTTTTTGTGTACTTACAGGATGTCAGTTGAGTAGGGGGGTCCTTTACTGTGGCCCAGGACTCATTACCGTTCACTCTACAAAGGATATGTGGTCAAATGCATCCCAGACCACCTTGGTCGGTGGTTTGAATGATCTGAGTAGTGGTTTACACTTTATTTAGAGTCGTCCACTTGTGATCAGATCACCCAAGATGCATGTTAATACCAGGGGTAAACAGGCTTAATGAGACCTCTTCAGTCCACTCACTCTCTCTGTCTGTCTTTGTCTGTCCAGTATAAGACCTGTAAGGACGGCAGCGTGCTCGGTGTGACGGTGATGAGGATAGCCATGCTCACACACTGCCAGGCCCTCACGCAGTCCTGCTCTTACACAGAAGGTAACACTCGTTCTGAAGCTCCGTTCACCTACAGATACTGCAGCTCAGAGACAATTTAACTGTAAAACTGTATTTACAATAATGTGTTTCTGTCTCTGTTTGTCTGTCTGCCTGCCTGCCTGTCTGTCTGTCTGTCTGTCTGCCGTCCTCTAGCTGAGACCATAGTGAATGTATTAGACTTCAAGAAGGATGTAGGACTGTGGCACGCTGTCCTGACTGTAAGAAAAACCCACCTTTACCTTAATCATTCCACATGATGAATCCAAGTATAATAAACACACTATTATTGTATGTTTTATTCTTTAAATACAACATAGAAATGTTTTATTTTGTCACCAAGACTTCTTGCAACTCTGCTTAAATCCCAAATCTGGTCAGAGTAAATAATAACTATAGACTAAAATATGAAAATAAGAATAGTGAACTTCCATCTGTTTATGTCTCACTCTCTGTTATTTTCTGCCTCTCTGTCAGAGTGTAATGAATATGATGCATGTCATCAGTATTCCCTACGCCCTCATGAAGGTCAACCCTCTGTCCTGGATCCAAAAAGTCTGCCAGTACAAAGGTAACAAAACCCAAACTGAGTAACAATACTATTCAAACAGAAAAAGGGGATAAAACCATTTTGGTTTCGTTGTGATCCAGCAGATCAGATTTTGAAACTTGCTGGAAAACAGAAAGAGGTCACTGGTTGTGTTTGATTGTACTGATTACATATAATTGATATAATATTTTGATGAACTGTTGAACAGAAATCAGTCTATTCTTGCCAAGTTTATAAAGCAGACACAAACTCAGTGATTTAAGATTTTTGGACAAACTACAGTCAGACCCCACCCAAACTTTTATCACTAAGCTCTTTAGCAATAACCCAGATTTTAGGCCATGAGTTTATAGTAATTACATTTTGTTGTGTGTGTGCTTTTTGTGTATAGCTAAGGTGGCCTGTGTGAAGTCGCGGGACATGCACTGGGCTCTGGTGGCCCACCGGGACCAGCGAGACATCAACCTGAGCTCCCTGCGCATGCTGGTGGTGGCTGATGGTTCAAATCCCTGTAAGAACACACTGAAGTTTGTACTGTGGATATATTAAAGGTCATAAAGTCATTAAAAACAAAAAAGGCAATTAATGTCCAACCCCAAATGTAATCGCAGTTCTACAAAGGTGTTTGAGCAGGATTCTACTATTTATATAACTCTGCATTTTCATATATTTTTGTAACATTCCACCCAAAAGCACATATGACTTTATGATCAAATTAAATATTGGGTTTTTTCATTACAATAGTCTAAAAACAGAACTAGAAACTGTTGTGTTAGCCTGATGTTGTATTTGTCCTTTACTGTCTTCCCTTTGATTAATTGTCCATTTTATTATCATGCATTCAGCCTGTTAAGCAACATGCAGAATTTTTTCAAGTCCAAAAAAAAACATGTTGAAGTTGTCCAGAAAGGTTGTAAATAGCCTGAGAGGCAAAACCCAGGGCAAAAAAGTCTCTCTCCATCCCCAGTGGAAACAACTTCCTTGTGCCAGTAGTTATAAATAGAATAAAGATTACTTTTCTCCGCTGACAGATGGTTCACATTGAACATTTTATGATTGGCCGATGTCCAAATATTTGGGAAAAAACCCACAAAAAATTGTAACTGAACTTCAAAGGACAATTATATCACGAAGACTCGTCTGTAATGAGCTGCTTCCTCCTTGACTTCTTAAATCGTGTCTCTCAGGGTCAATCTCATCCTGTGACGCCTTCCTCAACGTTTTCCAGTCTAAAGGTTTGAAGCAGGAGGTCATATGTCCCTGTGCCAGCTCCCCGGAGGCTCTGACTGTAGCTATAAGGAGGTACACACACATATATCTACACACACATATCTACACTTACACACACACACACACACACACACACATGCATACAGGCCAGAGTCAGTTCTTCCACATGCATGTGTCATCTCGAAAACACACTGTATGTCTTTTTATTTCACTGTCATCAATTTAAAAACATTAAAGGCCAAAATCACATTTTGTTTTTATTATTCCATTATACTTGTAAAATATAATCAGGTTGTCATCATCATAAGGAATCAAATCAAAAAACATTTTAGGGCCTCATCACACACAAACTAAATTTAATACTAAAATTATTTTTACATGACGTATATTTATTTACTCTCCTCAGTAAATAAGTGGTTGTTTTAGTAGCTTTCGCCCTCCTTCCACTACATCCTGTTCTTATTTTAACCCATTAAGACTTTACAGCTAAACGTGCAACCTTTCCACCTCTTTCATCCTCCTGTAACTGCAACATGTAAAAACCACATTACAGTCGCACCAGGGTGGTTTTCATTCACATGTCGGCTGTAATTTAGCCCTGTGTTTTTATGTGCGTGTGTGTTTGTGCCACACACAGTCTAATAAATAACACTTTACCGCAGCGGGTGTGGTAGTAATGAACTCACTTTTTTTTCAAACAGTTGCTTCAAAAATCTAAAATGTCCTCATATAACAAAGATATTGTGACCTTCCTAAAATATTGTGATTTTCCCAAAATGTCTTCACTGTCCAAAATTGTCCCAATTTCAAAAATCCAATCCAGAAACAAAAATGTTTCCAAAACTGTCAATACATGTCCTCATCTTACAAATATGGTCATCTTCCAATAAAGTCCCAGAAAATGTCCTTGCTTAACAAAATCTTTCTCCCTTTCTAAAATTGTTCTCAATCGCCCAAAAGTGTGTTCACTTTCAATATCTTTTCCCCACTTTCAAAAAAGAAATTTGGAAGTTGTGACTTTCTAAAATTGCTCTATTCTAAAAAATTGCCCTCACTTTTAAAAAATGTCTTCATATAACAAAAATATTGTGATTTTCCCCAAAATGTCAAGGTTCTTGCTCAACAAAAATGTTGCTTTCCAAAACTGTCCGTACTTCCTAAAAATGCCGTACAAACATGGCCACCTTCCAATAACGTCTCCAATCTGAAAAAATGTCCTCACTTAACAAAATTGCTCTCACCCCCTTAAAAATGTTCCCTCACTTCCCGAAAACCTTGTCACTTCCCAATAACTGCTGTCACATCACAAAGACAGACAGCACTCCATCACCTTCCCTGTGATCTGATTGGCAGTCTCCACCCCTCCTCCTGCAGGCCTGTGGAGGAGGGCAGCACCCCTCCTGGTCGCGGCGTGTTGTCCATGCAAGGTCTGAGTCACGGCGTGATTCGGGTCGACTCGGAGGAGAAGCTGTCGGTCCTTACACTGCAGGACGTCGGCTCCGTCATGCCCGGAGGTGAGACGGATGGTGAACCCGCTGATCCTGATTCTGATTCTTTCTTTGCTTTGTTTTTTCTGTCCTTCCTTCTATCCTCATTTTTTTCCCTTTCTGCCCTTCCTTGTCTTTTTCAACTCATCTCAGAACATGAAAATCCCCAAAACGGCATATATAAGGTTTTTTAGATATGTATTAAGACACATGTACAAGTAGTCTGTTGGTCTAATGGGTTTTTCTTTTTCACAAAAAAGTATATTTTCCACAGTAAAATCCTTAAAAACTTATATATTCCTTCTACCTAAGTTAAAAATGACAATCTATGAATATGAAAATGTTCCTTTCTAAAGGCACAGGATGTCTCCTACTTCACTCCATTCTCAGTGTCTGTGCACTGGTGGCTTCAGGTTTCTACATCACACTGTAGAAGTTGCATACTGGACCAGGCTTTAACTTATAATATTACCTATTACCTCATATTTCACCTGAAGCTGCACAATCATTTTTCATGTAAAATGACACTAATCTGATCATTGTTTCTCTTTCATAAAAAGCTTCTTCCCCGGTTTCTCTCTCTGCAGCTATGATGTGTGCGGTGAAACCAGAAGGTGTCCCTCAGCTCTGTAAAACTGATGAGATTGGAGAGCTGTGCGTTTGCACTGCTGCCACGGGAACCTCCTACTATGGTCTGGCCGGCATGACCAAGAACACCTTTGAGGTGAGCGTGTGAAGGATTAAGTTGATTTAATTAATTTATTAAGCTTTTCTGACTGTTTTAATCACATACTCTCTTTAGGTCTTCCCCACGTCCAACAACGGGGCTCCCATCAGCGAGTTTCCCTTCACCAGGACCGGCCTGCTGGGATTCATCGGACCTGCAGGTCTGATCTTCGTGGCAGGGAAGATGGACGGCCTGATGGTGGTCGGGGGCCGTCGGCACAACGCTGACGACATCGTGGCGACGGCGCTCGCTGTGGAGCCCATGAAGTTTGTGTACAGGGGCAGGTAAGTGTTTGTGCCGCGTTAATCCTCCAGAGGTGACGTTACGATGTCGTCCAGCTGTGAAGCATGTCGACGCTGCGTGTTTCAGGATAGCAGTGTTCTCCATCACCGTGCTTCATGACGAGAGGATCGTGGTCGTGGCAGAGCAGCGGCCCGACTCCACCGAGGAAGACAGCTTCCAGTGGATGAGCCGAGTTCTGCAGGTACTGGCACGCACTTTATATACAGCATCTACACAGTTATATATCCAGTTACACAGTATAAAAAC